GTCTGTACGCACAAGTACACACATACATACACATACACACATATATACATACATACATACATTCAAACATACATACATTCAAACATACATACATGCATACACACACATACATACATACATACATACAAATATTATACGCGCGTTTTTAAGAGTGTATACAAAGATACATACACTACAAACTTTTTTTTAAAACGCAAATAAAAAAAAATACCATGCGTATTTTGCAGTACCAAATACTAAGCACGGATTGTTTTGTTTGTTGAATGATAGTCTCTCCCTCTCTCTCACTCTCTCTCTATCTATCTATCTCTCTTACACATACACGCACTATCTCTCTTACACATACACGCACACATACAGACAAACACACACACGCACACATACTAACACACATACAGACACGCACGCACACACACACGCACATACCTAATACGCACGAATATTACAGCGGTTGATAAATGGAAATTTGCATTCAGTATGCAAGGACTGAAGCAAATTTATTTGATTAATTAGATGGATGGATGGATGGATGGATGGATGGATGAATAGGCAGACAGGCAGACAAAAAAAAATAAATGAATGAAAGAAAGATAGAATGAACGAATAAACGAATCAACAGAACGAAAGAACGCAAAAGGAGAAACAGAAGATAGGGAGAAAAAACCAAGTTATGTGCGCTGGGTTGGCTATGCTAATATTTCCCCATTAATTAGACATAAAAACCGCTATCTAGAATTCTAGGCTATCCCCATTCTCGAAATATAACACACACATACACACGCACACATACACACGCACACACACGTGAGTGTACAATAAAAAATACAAGCAACATGTACTGCGATTGAAATGTAATGAGTTTATTATGCTTCGAAAGAGATAAAAAAAATGAAACAAATAAATTAATTAATCAATAAATTAATCAATCAGTCAATCAATCAATTAGCCAATCAATCAATTAGTCAATCAATCAATTAGTCAATTAATTAATTGAAAACGAAATAAGCGTTGTTTGAAATATCAAATCAATCAAATTTGACATGTTAAGTTAACCTTGCAACCATTTCGAAAGAAAAATTTGTTGATAATATTAGTGCTATTTAATTACTAAAACAATCAATACTAGGTAATAATAATAATAATATGTTTGTTAATTAGGAAATTAAATACCTTTTAAAATAAATAAATAAAAATTGGTAAAAAATCAAAAATATCTACAAAAATAAATAAACGCAGAAGAAAATCCCCTGTTTACATTTATCCTAACAGATCAGACTGAGAATTAAAACCACCACCACCGCCACCATCATCGTCATCATCAACACCGCCCATTACGTCATCGTCGTCGTCATCGTCGTCAATGACGTCATCGTCGGCCACAGTTGGGATATTGACACCGGGTGGAAAATGACCTATAGAATGATTATTATTATTATTGCTATTATTATTATTATTATTATAATTAGGTGGTGGCCCTATGTTATGGACGTTGAAGTTATGATTGACCAGACTGGCGCGCCTGTAGAAGACCTTTCCACAGCCTGAAATTTGGCAATGAAACGAAGTTTGAGCTACGACTCCGAACCTGCGACCGTGTTTTAACCTCTGGTGCCGATAGAGATGGCAGCTATGGCAGAAGGTTTTACCGCAATCGGGGTACTGGCAGACGACAGTTTTTAAGTTACTACGCCTTCGAGGGCCACACATTTGAAGCGGCTGCAGGCTGCTGTCGCCGGTAGCCGCCACTGCGGCCGTTAACGAGTTGAAGCCTAGTTGTTGTAGTGGATTGTTGCTGCTGTTGTCAGGGAATGTTAGAGCGAGAGAACTGGAGTTGTGAGGTGAGATGGAGAGGGATTTTCTGCTCTGCACATTGGAATGATTTGCCATTTGTTTGTATTTCGTGTATGTCCACTGCAAAGAAAGATAGTTAATCATATGTAATATAAAAAAAATCTAAATGAAAAAAAAGTACTCTATAAGGTGCACCAAAAAACAAATTACATACAGATTCTTTGATCATTTCTTGTCCTAATGTAGAGTGATGAAAATTCTCGAATATGGCAGAGGTCGGGGCCAGGATTGAATTTTCCAGATTAGCAAGTGGATCTCCGTGGAAAGTAGACTGCGAGAAAATATTATTTTCATTTTCTATGCCGGCTTGGAAATTATTTTTTTTTCTATGGTGGTAATTGAATTTGTAATTTGGACCTACGGGACTAAATTGGCTGCCACTGTGATGATGTTGTTGCTGTGGTTCTCTGCGTAACAAGTTATCACCATTATTGTTGTTGTTGTTGTTGTGAGTACCATAACTAACTAATTGCAGTTGTTGTTGAGACTCGTGCTGCTCAATCAGGTCTTGTTCCTCCGATGAGATTTCAGATTTTACAAAAATAATTTCCTCTTCTTCATCATCGTTTTCTATAACTACATCCTTAACAGTTCTGTTGTTGTTGTTATCATCGATGTTGTTGTTGTTTCTTTTATTACCATCAGCCATTGTGATGCAATTTGATGCTCCACACTCATCGTCACCACGTTCGTCATCTCTACTACTATTATTACTATTATTATGGATTTTACCATCACTGCTACTCTGAAAATTAACATTTTCACTAATTTGATCATTAGGAATACCACCCTCATCATCATTACCATGTCTGGCCCCAGAAATTACACTAAAATCATTCAAATTATTAGTTGTGAGATCATTGTTGTTGTCTATATTTACACTACCAACTTCACTGTTGTCTTTGCTGCTAACAGATGCACAGTAATCAATGGATGAATTGTGTGCATCAATTGCAATGCTGCTGCTACCCTCCTCTGCTGACACTAATTTTTGTTCAGATCGCTGGTGACATTTAACTGCAGCGGAACTTCTTACCAAATTGTTGTCATCTTCATAAGTGACAACATTTTTTAAATTTCTTGACTTAGAGCAGGTCCCAGCCTGACTGACGTTTGCAGATGACGTGTTGGTTGGGGGATTATTAAGTTGTTTCTGTAAAAGTGTGTCATCCAATTGAACGACGAAGACGTCCTTCTCGTCGATAGTTATGCCCAGGAGGCCCTGGATACGCAAACTTCTGTCAAAATGGAGGCCATTTCTGCACAAGAGACTGACAGTTTGAATAAGGAGAGCGGACACCCTTTTTTGGTCCGGTTTCATGATGATAAATTGGAATTATTGTGATTGATTGATATTGAAGTGAAATTAGTGAAATCAGGATTTTGAGATGTTTCGTATTTTTAAACAAAAAGTGGTTTTTAATTTAATGTATATAACCAAGAAGCACTTAAAAAAGATATTTTAATCATTTTAAAATAAATTAACCAAAGAACGGAACAATTTATTACACAAAATTTTTTAAATATCGCTCGCAAGAATAAAACAACATTTACACACATATATATACACATAGATAAATAAGTGTGCATCCTTTTTCAAATGTATATACATATATATATATATATATAGAGAGAGAGAGAGAGAGAATTGTATATGGAGTACTGTAATCACTATATATCATAGTTTGCATAAATCTCTCTCTCTCTCTTTCTTTCTCTCTCTCTATATATACATTTATACATGTATATGTTCATCTTCCTTCAAAAAATCCATACCAACAAGCGCTATACAATCCCTTTACGTGCAATACTTTGATTATGTGACATAACAGTATAGCACAGAGGGATGTCATTCAGTAGACAATATTTATAAATAGTTGACATAAACATATACATATATTTACATATTTATGGATATACTATTACTTATTATATACAGATAAAATTATTATGTGCACTAAAATTATTTGTTTAATATAATTCTGCCATACATATACAAGTTTACACTTTAATAGGTGTTACCTACATGCAGTTAATTTCATATCCATCAAATTAACACATACAAATGGATGAAAGGAAAACACAGAAAAACCCATTTTTCTTAATTTTTTCATTAGAAACTGATTAAATGTGTGAAATTTTTTTCGTACAAAAACTTCTAGAGAAGCATAATAAATAAATAGTAATATTTATATATGAAATTACATATGTCATATATAAATAAAAAAATAGTTGAAAATGAAGTAAAAAAGATTCTCAAAAAGAGTCATCTCAAAATTTCTAAAGCACCAAAATTACTACTATAAATATTTTGAGACTGTCTGTTAGTGGTGGAAGATGATGACGACGATGATGATGGGGGCACATATCCTACCCTGGCATGGGTGGTGCTCTCCTTGCATTCAAATGAGGGACTGGCTGGTCGGGCATTCTTTGATGATGTTACATTCTCAGCTAAATCTACATTTTTTGATTTTTCTTTCTTCAGAGAAGTCCATTCGTTGATGTTTTCTAATTTCAGTTCAATTCTTGTTGGCTGTCTTCGTAGCATTGCCTTTTCTTTTAACCTTTCTTTCTGAAAAAGTAAATTGAAAATTAGCTTTAATAATTTAATTATGATTCTTTAGTCAATCAATCAATCAATCAATCTTTGTTTTGCGTCCAGATACCCGGTTCTTGATTCTTTAGTAATTTTATTAAGTTTTTTAGACTTCAACTACACTACTACAACCTCAATTAAGTTAAATTTGAATAAAGCTAAACTTTGATAATAATCTATCATTTTAAATTCACTTTTTTCTAATGAAATTTAAAATTTAACAGTCACTGACAAATTAAAGATTATTAAACTAAACTAAAAGCAGTAAAAACTGAAATTGAAATTACCCAACCAAGGAAAAAACTAAAACTTGTTCTCAATGAAGAAAAAAATTGTTTATAGAAACAAATATATAACAAATTAGGTAAAACAAATTAAATTCAACACTAACTACAATCTCTTAAATTTTGCAATACCTGAAATTTCTTTATCACCAGAAACCCCACAAAATTCTTGAACTTGAACTGACCGGGTTTAGAGACGTTGAATTTAAGTTCAAATACACTTTTAAAAATTTAAAAGTAAACCAGACGAAAACATTTTAAAAGTGAACTAGTTATCAATCAAAAACTTCACTTTTAGTTTTTAAATGTTTTCTTCTTTCACGAAAAGACTTCCAGTCGCGAAATATCTATCCCTTGGCCACAAATTCCGGAACATTTCGTTTCCAAATTGCAGAAACATGTTTTTAAGAGATGTTATTGAAGTTTTAGAAAAATTCGCCCCCTTAAGCTTGGCGGCCCAGTGGGATAATGTGGGACTCTTGGTTGAGCCCGACAACACTTCAGCTGATTTCATTAAAAAGATCATGCTAACCAACGATCTGACATTAAATGTTAGCAATTAGTTGATGAATTAATTATTTTTGAATCTAATTTTGTATAAAAAAAGAAACTTAACATACATAAAATTAATATTTCCATTAATTAGGTTATGAAGGAATGCATAGATAAGGAGATCAACCTAATTATTTCTTACCACCCACCTATTTTCAAGCCAGTTACCAGATTATTACAATCGTCATGGAAGGAAAGTGTAATAATGTCGTGTGTGAAGTACGGGATTGCTCTGTACTCGCCACACACCTGCTGGGACGTGGTGGAAAATGGCGTCAACGATTGGCTACTGACTCCATTTAGTCTGTTTATCCCCTTTAAACCATCTCTGTTTTCATGTGTAATGTATTTTTTTGTGATTTCGAAATTTAAGGTTCTATGTTGTTATTGCATGGTGTGTGATAATATACATTGGTTATAGATACATGTGTATGTAGCATGTAGACATATTTGTACATATGTGAATTATTTAATAATGAAACGTTTATAAATGAGTTTAATTTTGCATCAACTTTCAAATCACGTACATCAATTATAAGTTAATTCTTTTAAGATGAAATAGATCCAATAATAATTATGTTAAATTAAAAAATTCAATTTCACTTTTTGTGCAACAGAGGGCAAGAAACAGTGTCTGAAAGCAAGAGAAAGAAAGGTGTACAGATTCACTGTTGAACTACCTGAGACAAAACTGTCAGATGATGCTCTAGAATCAGGAGTTCTATCTGATATCTGGGAGATATATGGGCCAATTTCTCATATAAAACTCCCAAATGATAAGTAAAAGTGAATTTGTTTTGTTTTTAATGTGATGAGGTATTAGTAAGTGTAAACTTTATCACCAGAAACCCCAAAAAATTCTTGTCATAAAATTACATCAGCTGAGTAAAAGTGAACTTTTTTCATATTAATTCAATATAATATATACAATATTAATTATTTCTTATGTAATATTTTCATATTTTTTATAATATATAATATTAATGTGATATATTAATGTTTCTTTTCTCCTTCCAGGAAGGCTTTCACATTTGTCTGTGATGAAGTTGACTTGAATGACGCCAAAGCTAAGCTAAAGGGATTGGCCGTCAATTTTCATTCAACATTCACAGATGTTACAGAGGTGAGAGAGAGAAAGAGAGAGAGAGAGAGGATTATTTGTGTGAAAAGTATTGTTTGAATTATCATTGAAAATCGTTTAACATGTTTATTATCATTGATACAAAGGTCAAGATCTTTTACTTTTTTTTCTTTTTTAAAATTTATTTTCAAGATTACCAATGAAAGGCTAGGTGAAGGTCGTTTGATGATTTTAGATCAACCAATCAGGATCAATGAGGCCATTGACATCATCAAGAAACATCTCAAACTGGATCACGTGTTGTTGGCCTCGTCTCATCATCTTCAGAAGAAAAATTTCAATGGCTAGTTTCGATTTCGTCACCTGTTACTGTCGTTTAGACGATGTTATTGCTCTTTGCTATTGTTACTATACCTTAAAAATCATTGAAAAAAATGCGATAAAATGAAAAAAATATTTATTTATCGACAAGATGGCTACCAGCTGATATCAAGCATAGCAGTTTGCGCTGGGTCGGGATCTAGCGTTCTGAAAGGTGCGAAGGCAAACTTGTACATCACTGGAGAGATGGGCCATCACGAACTTCTTGACGTCACCAACAACACGTGCGCGCCTTCTTCCGTCATTTTATGTAACCATAGCAACACGGAACGCGGGTTTTTGAGTGATTTCATGTTGGGCTATTTGAAAGGGGAGTTAAAAGACAAGGTTGAGATTCTGGTATCTGAATGTGATGTCGATCCACTGGTTGTTGTTTGAGTTGATGATGGGTGAAGGTGGTCTTGTTTTGGTGGTTTTTTGCGGTTGGTTTTTAGGGCGGTTTGGTTTTGGAAGGTTTTTTAAAGTTGGTTTTGTTTGGGGTGATTTAGTTTAGTTCATTTTGTAATGAAAGTGATTGTTTTTTTTTCAAAATTTTGAAATAGTAAATTTTTTTCGTAGTTATGTCTTATATTTTTGAGTGATTCTTTTTGAAATTATTGAAAAAATAATATATAAAGACGACCTTACGTACGTACATACGTGCATGCATGCACATGTAAAATACAAAAATAACCTTTACAATCATACCGTTGTACGTTTCACACACGTATTTTACGGTATTTTGTGTTTATACCGTAAAACGCTAATGCTAATATCAATATTAAAATGTATAAGTATGTGTGTGTGTATGTGTGTTTGCGTGTGTGTGTGTGTGTGTGTACGGGTGGTATTTGGTGTATCCTGCCGTATTTATTCCCACCTTTGGAATGAAAATGTTAGAAAAAGATGAATGTGTCTGTCAGTTCGGTGTAGATTTTTTGTCTGCCTGTTTTTTTATAGAGGGGTCCAGCTGGGATTTGCCAGACCGGTCGATATAATGACCCTTATATCGACACGGTTATTAGTTGCACCTCATTTGGGTGTGAATGTTTCTTTCTCTCTCTTTCTCTGTGTGTCTGTGTATGTCTGTGAGCCCTGGAACTGTCATTGTTAACAATGAAGATGATCATATGATAACCTAGATAGCCCGATAACATAATATCGTGGAGGAGATGATATAACACGGCGATGACGAAAACTGCGGAATATTTCTGGGTACTTGCATACGTTCAGTTGAGTAGAGAAATAAATACACATACAGATACACACATACACACAAACCTACATTTATACATACACATACACGGACATACTATGCCTGCAGTTAGTCAAATTTCGTTTGGCTCGCGTAGCTACAGTTTCCAATTTATTTCCATTCGCATTCTTCATTACAACTTTTTTCCAGGGCAATATGTTTTCTGAGATTTTTAAATTTTCATTTTTCTTTTCTTGCATGTTTTTACATTTGTTGTTGCGTTTTGCAATGTTAATTTTTCAAATTTTTTTCTTCCGCTTTTTGGCTTTCTTTCTTTTTCTCTCTCTCTTTCTTTCTCTTTTTTTTTCCTCTTTTCATCTTCTTGTATTTGTTTATCTATCTTCGTCTCTGTCTTGTTCTTCTCTTCCTTCCATTTATTTTATTTTGCTTAATTCATTCAGAACTTACTCCCTCTTTCTCTCTCTCTTTCTCTCTCTTTCTTTTTCTCTCTCTCTCTCTCACTACTCTCTCTTTATTTTCATCTTCATCCCTCTCTCTATATCTCTCTACTTCATTTCTCGCACTTTATATTTTAGCGGCGGGGCGAGCGTTACTTGCAGAAGTGTATCACTCTTAATAAGGCAGGCCTTCCGGTGCACGAGACTTTCAAATGGATACAAACTGCCAGCAAAATTATTATCAATTATTGCCTTTATTATCTCAGTCACGTGCTCATTTGTTTATTCATTTATTTTGTTAATCCGTCTATCCATCCGTCTATCTATCTATCGCTATTCTATTCATTTTCGTTATTTAATAGTTTTTTGCTGTTTAGTTTTTGATAATTCCTTCAGCTATATGTAGTGCTTGTTAGTTCGTGAAGGTCGAGATGTGTTACAGTATAACCGAATTGGTTTTTGACGGGTCAATATCGGTTCAATGGCGGTTTGTGATCGGGTTATATTACTTATATTTCTAGGGACATTTATATCTTGGTTATTTTCTTTAAATGGTTTTAATATTATTCATAATGATGAAGACGATAATGATGGTGATGAAGCTGATGACAAAGATGATGGAAAAGTAGATGAGGGAGATGATGAGGAAGTTGATGGAAATGTAAAGGAAGGCAGAAGGGGAAAGCGATAAAAATATGATAAAAGGACAATTAAGAAAGTAAGAGAGAAAGAAAAGGAACGAAATAGAGAGAGGGAGAGAGAGAGAGAGAGAAATACGCTAAAATGAGGGTTCATAAAGATACATCATTATACACATATACACAAAAAATACACAAACTTTAACAAACTTGTGTATTCAAACATCTACAGGCATACACAAAACGATACAAAAATAGACAAGCGTACATCAATGTATACACGCATACACGACATACAAAGAAGCAATCAAATACAAACATTTAAAAGTAGATTTTACTGTTAAGTGTACATTCATTGTATACAACAATTAACAAACACGTAACTTGAAACATTCAATTGTATACGCGCACACACACACACACACACACACACACACAGACCAACAAACACACACACACACAGACCAACAAACACACCAAAACACACAGACCAACAAACACACAAACATAAATAGACACACGTACACACGCACACCCCAATTTACACAACGTGAAACAAACCAATAAAATGAAAATGGGCCGTTAGGCACAGTGGCTTCCTTTCAACAAAATGACCACCTTATAATCGTTAAGTAGTAAAATACTACACACATATACATACATACATACATACATACATACATACATACATACCTACGTACGTACGTACGTACGTACGTACGTACATACATACATACATACATACATACATACATACGTGCATGCATACATACATACATACACACACACACACCATACATACACAAAATTATTTATGTAACAGTAGTAGTGGTGGTAGTAGCTGTAAAAGCAGCAGCAGCAGCAGTAGTAGTAGTAGTAGTGGTGGTGGTACTGGTATCAAAACAAAACACAGCGAATCTTGACAAGTAAGGCAAATAACTAATTTAAATTCAGCCGTCAATTAATTGAGATTTGAAATGAAAAAAAGACAAAAAAATTAAAAAAATTATCTTTTTGCCTTTAATATTTTTGTTTTATTTATTTCTTTTTTGTTTATATAGTTTTTTTGGTTCGTATTTTTTGCCTTTCAAATGATACGTGCCTAAACAATGTTTGTGGGTAATGTATGTTTAAAAACATGTGTTTAAAAATACCTAAATATTTGTTTGTATGTATGTATGTGTGTGTGTGTATGTATGTATGTATGTGTGTATGTATAAATACAACAAAAAATAAACAAAACTCAAACATAAACATAGAGAGATACAGGCAGTAACACGTATGTGGTTTATGCCGGCGCCGTGCTATGCTCAGATGAGGAACTACTAAAACGTGTTATATTTAAAAAACACACATACACATATATACACATACATACACACACAAACCAACATACATACACACACAAAAACAAACATACATACACACACAAACAAACATAAATACACACACAACAAACGTATATATACCCTCAAAGATATAGATAGATATAGATATATAGAGATATGTATCTATACTTACATACATACAATAATATACATACGAGCAAACATGCACACACACACACACACACATACAAACAAACAAACAAGCATACATACAATCATATACATACATGCAAACAGTACAAAGAGTTAGTTAAGCGAAAATCGAAATATCAATTTTGATTACAGAATATATACATACACGGACAATTTTTTCTTGCTCAACATGGTATATAATAATACTAATGATAACAACAACAACAAACATAATAGTAATAATAATAATACTTATTATTGTTGTTGTTGTTGTTGTTGCGGGTTTTTTGTAACCTATCTTGTAATTCCGCATGTGCGGTTGCTGTGAGGGAATGCCAACATTTGCGTGAAGCTAGATTGTGGATTTTTGGTTTGTTGTTGTTGATGTTGTTGATGTTGTTGCTTTTGTTGTTGTTGTCCTTGATGTTGTTGATAATGTTGTTATTGTTGTTGTTGTTGTCCGTGATGTTGTTGATAATGTTGTTGTTGTTGTTGTCCTTGATGTTGTTGTCCTTGATGTTGTTGTTGATGTTGTTGTCCTTGATGTTGTTGATGATGTTGTTGTTGATGTTGTTGTTGTCCTTTATGCTGTTGTTGATGTTGTTGTGGCGGTTTTTCATGCTGTTGTTTTTCTTTCTGTTGTTCATTCATTTGTTTATTCATTCAATCGTTTGTTAGTTCGTTCGATTGCTCGTTCACTCGTTCGTCCATTCGTTCATTCACTCATTTTTTCATTCATTCATTCGTTCAATCATCGTGGGTTTTTCCAAGTTTGTTGCATTCTTACATGAGTTAGCTATAGAACGTTTCTCGCTAATCCGCGTCTTCCTTCTTAGCCTGCTCTTGAATGAATGAATGAATGAATGAATGAATGAATGAATGTGTGAATGAATGAATGAGTGAATGAATGAATGAATGAATGAATGAATGAATGAATGAATGAATGAATGAATGAATGAATGAATGAATGAATGAATGAAGAACGAAGGAACGAGCGAACGAAGGAACGAACGAACGAACGAACGAACGAACGAACGAACGAACGAACGAACGAACGAACGAACGAACGAACGAACGAACGAACGAATGAATGAATGAATGAATGAATGAGTGAGTGAGTGAATGAATGAAAAAGTGTGTGAGTGAATGAATAAATGAATAAACGAGTAAAGGAATGAATGAACGAACGAATGAATAAATGATTTAATGAGCAAATTTTTTAGATAGAAATTTAATTAATAAATAAAGACAATGATGATTAATTATTTCAAACAACATGGAGTTACCCTCTTCATGTTTTATAACTACTTCTTTATAAAACATTCTATATATAGTTTTTCGTTTGTGTGTATACGTTCGCTTTTGCGTGTGTGTACGCGTGCGTGTGTGCGTGCGTGCGTGCGTGCGCGAGTGTGCGTACGTGCGTTCAGAATGTGTGTACAACAATTTATATAGAAGAGTAGAGATGTTTATGCCTGTACGTCGTGCTCTGAGGCTGCTGATTTCTATGGTCTGTTCATTAAATTCTATGGTGATGAACGATGACTGTGTGTATTTGCACGTACGTACACACGTACGTACACATGCACATACACTCGTACATACACATAAATAACATAAAAACATACATACTTGTATAAGTACTCCTCCACTTTTGGACTCACACAAACTATTATAAGTTTAATAATATAAAATTGGTAAAAGAATCACATAGTAGTGTACTTGGTGGTATTTTTGTGTTAGGTACATTTGCTGTGGTACCCTTGAATACGCTGGTACACGCACACATATACAATTATACACACCATGTTTATATCATACATCAGGTTTGGATTTTGTGTTAGGTCATGTGAGCTTATTGCACACACATATGTACAACTATAGCTCCTGTTGTATTGTACTAACACGAGTACAAACATTGTTATGTGAAGAGAGAGACAGAGAGAGAGAGAAACAGAGAGGAAGAGAGAAAAAGAGAGAGTGAAAGAAAGAGAAAAAGACAAAAAAAAGAGTGAAAGAGAGAGAGAAAGAGAGAGAGAGAGAGAGAGAGAGCCGAGAGGAAAAAAAACTTTTGTGCGTCGTGATTTTGAATTCATGCATTTTGTCTGACTGGCTCGGCTTTGTTTTATTAGAGATTAGGAAAAAATATTATTATTAATATTATTCGTCATAATTATTGTTATTATTATTATTCGTCATAATTATTGTTATTATTATTATTATTATTATTCTTTATGATACATTTTTGTCATTAACGTAATCAATTTATCCTAAAATTCGATCGCATTAATACCAATGTCGTTTCCATGTTGCTGTTGTTATTGCTGTTGTTGTTGTTATGGCTGTTGTTGTTGTTGTTGTTATTGCTGTTGTTATTGTTATTATTATTATTATTTCCCCGTCACTGCATTATTCCATTTATTATTAATGACGAAATCTGAAAAGACTGACTGACTTAAAATGATCGAAGGAACGAAGGAACGAATGAATGAATGAATGAACGAATGAATGAATGAATGAATGAATGAATGAATGAATGAATGAATGAATGAATGAATGAATGAATGAATAAATGAATGAGCGAACAAATAAATGAATGAACGAATGAATGAACGAACGAACGAATGAATGAATGAAAGAGTGAATAAAGAAATGAATGAATACCCCAAAAACACCAGAAAACACCTCTGAAAAAGTTCGTCCAACTACTGCAGTCCTAGCAAATATGTTACTCAAGTCATGCATCAGACCTATGGAAAAAAATTTTTTTTTTATTTTAATATTTTTTTTGCTCTAAGTATTTTTATTTTAAGTAAGAAAAATATATTCTTGTTTTTTTAATTATTTTAATTTTAGATAACTTTTTAGTTTTTTTTTGCCATTTATTTGGATTAAATAGTTCTACCTGTCTGTTAGTTTATGTGTGTGTTTGTTTGTTTGTTTGTATGTGTGTGTGTGTGTGTGTGTGTGTGTGTGTATGTGTAAGTATTCGATGGGGAAATTTCATCGAATGAATTTCTGTTAAATGAAGCGAAAGCCTCAAATGGTGACATTTTTAACAACAACAACAACAACAGCAAAATTAACAATAACAACAACAACAACCATAACAATAATAACAACAACAACGAATAATAACAACAACAAGCAATAACAATAACTATAAATAGCAGCAATAACAATAAATAATAACAGCAACAACAAAAATTTAAACGACACTCCAGAGACTACTCTAACAATGGCACAGAGATTTATAATGTGGATTAGTGAGCGTAAACATGTTTCTCTGTTTGTCCTGCTAATTTTTGTCGCATTTTTGCTCTATACTTGCGCGTGTATGTGTGTATGCATGTGTGTGTTTATGTGTGTATGCATGTGTGGGTGTGTGTGTGTATGTGTTTGTATATGCGTACTAGCGTTTAAATGTGCGAAACGACTGATCATATAGATTGTTTTAGTGTGTGTGTGTGTGTTTGTGTGTGTGTTTGTGTATATGTGTGTATATTTGTATGTATTTATGTGTGTGTGTATTTGTTTGTATGTTTGAATGTTTGCACACACACACACACACTACACACACGCACACACATATGTGTAGCATGAAAATAAATAAATATTTATCTCAGTTGAGATAGATAGATAGGTGAACGACATGGCAATACTTTGTACACTGAAATGGTAGGTGTGTGTTTGTGTCTGTATGTGTTTTTATGTGTGTGTGTTTGTTTGTATGTGTGTGTGTTTGTGTGGTGTGTGTTTGTATGTGTGTGGTTGCGCGTTCGTTTCTTTATGCGTCATACACGTATTACCACGCAATTAACGTTCCGAAAATGAAAGAATTGTTTTCTCTTCTTTCCACCAGTGTTATAGTCATTATCGTCATCATCATCGTCATCGTCATCATCTTCATCTTCTCATCTTCATCAAAGGCACCTGTGTAACCATGTAACCATCACCATCATCATCATCATCATCTTTTTCTCCTTCTCTCTCTCTCTCTCTCTCTCTCTCTCTCTCTCTCTCTCTCTCTCTCTCTCTCTCTCTCTCTCTCTCTCTCTCTCTCTCTCTCTCTATTAATAAATCATTTTATTAATAACAGCAGAAAATTTAATTGAACGATTTTGAAGGGATTTAAATCCGAAAAGATTTTTGTTTCTTTTTCTGGAAACGGATGATGATGACAACGACGACGACGACGATGTTGATGATGATGATGATGAGGATGATGGCGATGTTCACTCCTTCTCTCAGATTCGTCATTATTTATTTGACATATTTGAACGACTTCTATGGCTATCGCATTTTTAAATTAGCTTCTTGCTTCTCTCACTCTCTCTCTCTCTCTCTCTCTCTCTCTTTCTTTTTTTCTTTCTCTTTCTCTCTCTCTGTTTTTCTTTTTCACTTTCACTCTCTTTCCCTCTCTCTCTCTTTCTCCTAGTTTTTAATCTTTTTTCCTCTCTT